ATAGTCAGTATAAAAATAATGTACATTATATTCAGGGGATGTACATTATTTTTTTTTGAGTGTACATTATATTGTATAATGTACATTCAGTACAAATATAATGTACATTTAGTATATTAAAATGTACTTTTTGTTATGGTTTACATAACATTGTATGGACTATGGTCCACACAATAATTTGCCACAGTATCATATCTCGAATCGAGCATGAATTAAACTTGGTCAACTCAGCCCACGCCCAACAACAATTATAAGGTAAAAAAAGTTTTAATTAATTCAACTTTACACCTGCTAATATTAATTTTTTCTCTCACAGTTAAACCACTCACACAGTCACACATCACTTTGCACGCAACTCACTTTATGCCTTTTGTTTTTCCCACCTTTATTTTCTCCTTCACTCAATCTCATATTTTTCTTCCTATACAAAATTTCACAAGAAATTCAAAAACAATAATTTTTCAAAAAATTAATTTCAGCCTCAATATTAACAGAAATTAAGCGCGTGTATAATACTAACACTTTTCTTAAAATTGATGGTATAGACTAATTGTATAATTTCAAAAAAAAAGAAAAAAAAAAAGAGTGTTTACTCTATTCTCAATTCAATCACTTTTAATCTCGTGATGTTTTCATATCACTTAAATGTAATTAAAAATATTCAAAAATTTTATCATCTTACGAAGAAATGTATGGTTTCATTAAAATGAAGATATTTTTAATCTATTAAACTGAATTTGGTTGATTTTAAAAAATTTAGTCCAATAATAACTAAAGAATTAATTTCACTTTTGGTCACACGACTTTTAAGATTCTATCACTTTTGGTGCACAACTTTAAAATTTTTTCAATTTTGGTACCTAACTTTGTTATTTTTATCAATTTTGGTCCTTTAAGTCAAATTGACGGCGAAATGTTACCGAATTTTATATTTTTAGGGGTAAAATCATCATCCCAAGAAAACATATTCATATCTAAACAAAATCACTATAAAAAACTAGGGCTGGGCAAATCGGTTCGGGTAACCCGAACCGAACCGGTTTGGTTCGGTTTCTACCCGAAAGACCGATCGGTCCTAGTTTAGGTGAAACCGAACCGCTAACCCGATCGGTTTTCTGTTTTTTTTTTTTTTTTTTTTTTTTTTTTTTTTTTTTTAATATTAATAGATTAATAGATATATATTATATTAAATGTTTAAGGTGAGGTTTGAACCCTTACTCATTTGATTATAAACTAAGAGCTTTACCCACTAAGCTATACCCACATTCATGTCTATGTTCACATTTGTATGCTAATAAGGGTATACATTTTTCATTAAATATTGCACACTTCAAATATAATGAATAAAATTATCCGTACTACATTCTTGTTAGACTAAAATACCATTATACCGTTATTACACCGTTGCTATTTAATTCTAAAGTTTCATAATTCTATCATTATTATCATATATACACACACACACACACACACACACACACACACACACACACACACATATATATATATATATATATATAATTAACTATGATACCTGTTTCCTATTCTTTAATTATCATTTTATTAAAATCATTATATAATTCCTTTAATTGTTGATTATATTTTAATTAAATTTCTATGTATATAAATATTATAACAATTAATAATTTTAACTCCTCAAGTCCTCAAATCTCAACTCCAAGTTGTAAGTCCAAACATTTGGTGTTTTAGTAATTTTTATTTTTCAAATATTAACTATAGATGAATGATTTTTCATTTTGTCATCAACAAAACACTTCAAGTGGCACTTCAAGTGAGCCAACTGAACAACCGGTCAGGCAAAAAAAGAAACGTTCAAATAGTAGACTTTCACCTAAACCGAACCGAATACCGAACCGAAACCGAACCGAACCGAACCGAATACCGAACCGAAACCGAACCGAACCAAACTTTTCAAACCGAAACCGAACTCCATTTTAAACCGAATGGTTTAATTTTTTTAAAACCGAAAAACCGAAACCGAAACCGAAACCGAAAAAATCGAACCGAAACCCGAAGTGCCCAGCCCTATAAAAAACATATCTATAGGTGTTTGATCGATGAGAATAATGGAGAAGACGGACATAAACTAGACACATATATATGAGATATATAGCGTCGACGATTGACAAACTCTTTTTTTTTCTTAATATGATTTTTCATTTGTTTAGATACTGAAGATATTTCCTTAATTAAGAATGACGATTTTTCCCTTAAAATATAAAATTCGATAACATTTCACGGTCAATTTGACCGGAAGGATCAAAACTGATTAAAATAACAAAGTTAGGCACCAAAATTAAAAAAATAAAATAAAATTATGCACAAAAAGTGATAAGACTTTAAAAGTCGTGGGACCAAAAGTGAAATTAGAGATTAAATGAATACTATTAATTTGTAGTTCTCGAAGATTCGAGGCCATTCCAATTATATTTGTTTGTAAGAATAATGACTTCTGCCCCTGTGCCCCACTAATTGAGTAGTTGGCCTATTTATATATTTCATTTGAAAAGGACTGCAATTTTTTATAATATTAATAATGCCCGAAAATAGCTTAGTAATTGCAAATATCTAAAACAGCCCTCCAATAATCCATGGCCGATTCTCACTAAACTCATCTGAAGACAAAATTAATTTTTAAAAAAACTAGAAGAAGGGTCAAATATGTCATTTTAGATTTAGAGAAATTGCAAATAGATACTTTTGACTAAAAGAAATTGCAATTTTTGAACTCCTAATTTCTTGGAATATTTAAATTATAACAGTGACATATTTTGCACAATTAGATTTCAATTGTGAGAAAAGTATAACGGTCCGATTATTCCAACACACATATTTTCCACAAGCAAACAATTGACTAACTTACTAAAGATTATATATTAAATGAATTATTATTAATATTTGTGAAGATTAAAGTTTTCTTTCAAGTACTACTAACTCTGTTACATTGTAATATTTGTTCATACTAATTTTCTCAACCTACTGAAGCACAAAGAGTCAATACCTTCACTAGAATTCGAACATGTGACCTCCCATGTATGAAGATTAAATTTTAATTGCACATAAAGAATTTATAATTGAAATTTAATTATACAAAACCAAGAACTTAAAAGTCTAATTGTATTTTTATATGGGATACAGAAAATTATTGGTCACACAATGTCATGTGGACCATAACAAAAAGTACATATTTAATATATTAAATGTACATTATTTTTGTACTGAATGTATATTATACAATATAATGTACACTCGGAACAAAAATAATGTACATCCTCTGAATACAATGTACATTATTTTTGTACTGAATGTACATTATTTTACAATAGACAAAATATGGTCCATACAACTTGTGTGGACCATAATCCATACAATAATGATTGGCATATTAGTGCCTTAGTGGTGTTAAATATAAATATGCAAATATGCAATAATACCAAAAAAAAAAAAAAAAAAAAAAAAAAAAAAACTAACAATACTTGTACTAAAATTATATAATACAAATAATAATAATAATGATACCTAATAAAAAAAATAAAAAAAAATACATACACGTAACATAAATACATAATGCAACCACATTATATTCTCTTACTAAAGTTATACCTTAGTATTCAACATCTATTGGGTGACACTATAATAAAGTGAATTTTTGTGCATTGAGCACAAATAGGTCAAAATGCCTGTGAGGTCCCTGTATTAAAGCATTTTGTTCAATTTAGTTCATATACTTTCAAAAGTGGTGTAATTAAGGACAATAGTTAACGATGTTAATATTACTGTTAACTTATGTTACGTGGCGCTGGCGATATTTATATTCCTACTCATATATTACTTTATAAATATTTAAAGTTAATTATTTTTACCACCAATATATTAAATGAATATGTTCAAAATAAATAATTATAACCATGTTCCTAATAAGATTACGACAATTGTCCTTAGTTTCACCATTTCTTAAAGTAAAGGGACTAAATTGAACAAAATAAAGGTATAATGACTAAATTGAACAAAACACTATAGTAAAAGGACTTCATACGTACTTTGACCGCACAAATACATGGTGCAATGGGAGATGGACACTTTGTCAGGTAAACTACTGACATAAATTTTATTTTTAATACTCCCTCTGTCTCATTTTATCTGTTATACTTACTATTCATTAGTCAAACCAACTCTTTCTTCTTTAATTATTTTTTTAATATTTTTTACTTATTTTAAAATTTGATTTTTTGTGTTTAATAGTACTTTTAGTGTAGTTTCTAAATGTATAAATTTTGTATATTTATACTAAACTTAATATTATGAAAAATTGAATTAAAAATAACTTCAATCAAACTTCTTTAACCGAACCAAACACATAAAATGGGACGGAGAAAATATCAAATAATGAACATTCAATATATTAAAATGAACTTTATCTCAATAATTCATCATACAAAGTGGATCATGGTACATCGTATAATAATTCACTACTGGAAATTATGAAATTTCCGACCACCTGAAAGTAATCTTAAATCAAGCCGAAAGCCTTGTTCCGACCACTTTTGGTATCCAGAAAAACCTTTGTTGCTATTTTCGACCACTTTTTGGTATCAACTTTTAAGATCCCTTTCAAGTGGTCGAAAATTTCATAATTTCCAGTAGTGATTGCTTGGAGATGGCATGTAACAAGTAGATGTTTTCTAGCTACTACGATTTATCAACAACTTGCTGCTATATAGTGGGATATCCATCCACCAGACATTATTTCAGCCTTTTTCTAATGAAGCACAGCCTTTTTCTAATGAAGCACCGCATATAATTTAAAAAAAAAAAACTCATAAACCCACAAAAAAGTTTATTATTGTCACATAAGAAATAGAAATTACTAGAGAAAAATAACAAATTTTCATACAAAAATTCCTTTCATTTGCCGCCCCTATTGTGGCAAAAAACACGTGTCATGGGGCCACCACTATCTAGTCAAAGCTGCCTAATAATCAAACCAAATTAGAAGCGTCAGGCAAACCTTGTCGGAGGTCGTCATCGTTCTTGATCGGAGGCCGCCGCGAACGCTTCACCGGCAAAGAAGTCCGGCAAATCGGACACGTAGAGCGAGAACGGAGCCACGTGGCAATACACTTGGCGTGAAACGTATGCTTACAATCATTTAGCTCGCTGATTTCTTCTCCGTCGACGAACGCCGACAAGCACACCGAGCACTCGGCCCCGCTCTCATTCTCCGGCGACTCTCTCTTGTACTTCACCGTTGAAACCAATTCCAGGCGTTGTTTCTCGGTCTTTGGCTCCTTGGAGGGCTCGTCTGCGCTCCGGAAAGGGTTGCGAGGGCATCTTATGGAGAAAATCACGGCGTAAATCAAGATGGGGATTAGTATGAAGGCCAGTACAGAGAGGATGGGGGTGAGGGCGGAGTCACCGGAGCTTTCAGACGGAACCGCCGGAGAAGACTCAGGGGAGACTTGAGTGATGGTGGCGGCGGCGGGTGTAGTGGTGGAGTTGTTCATGATCTCAATCTGCAGGTCTACTCTATTCGCATACAACAAAGATTGGTGAGTAGTTGGTTGTGTGTGTATATAATATGGGCAACAAATAATTATTGGTTATAGAGTTTTTATTGGTGACTTTATTAGATTTGGTCAAATAACTTGATATATAAAAGATTTGGATGAAATGAGAACTTATATACAAGAGACATCTAGGAATTGTCGGTTGAAAATATTTTGTTCTGTTTTTCAGTTAATTTTTCAAACACACTAGTTTTATTATAGTGACACTAAATTAAAGTATTATTATAATTTTACTTTAGTTTTGTTCGACGATCATGGTTAACTCTATGGAATAATTACGGAGCGAAGCAATATGGAGTGGATCACACCCGACACCAAGTGGACTACGCACGCGACCGGACAGACCATGGAGAGGTCTACCTCCTCGGGGTCCTCGGCTACTAACACGGGGTCCTCGACTACTACCGCGGGTCCCCAGCTACTACGCACACGGAGTGACGAACCACCCCGGGGTCGGCTAACATGGGCTCGGCACCCCGGGGTCGGCCACGTAGGCTCGGGCACCACGTACGGGGTCCGCTGGCGCACCCAGGGTCGGCAGGCGCACCATGGGTTCGACCGGCCACCCTTTGGCGTTGGCCAGAGCTCGGCCGGGGCTGGGTCTCTCGCGTGGAGCGAGTCACGCGGCGCTGACCGCGGCTCCTCCCGCGTACCCCGGGCAAGTAGCGGCCGGGGAGTATAAAAGCACTCCCTGGTGTCCTATTCAAGCATCTTCTACTTTCTTACAACACTTGTCTCGTTATTACACGCCGCGAACCTTTGTAATAGCGTTATACATCCAATTAATATAATATTTCTACCCCTATTATTATTTTATTGTTCGTTCTCTATATTCAATCATATACTCGGATTGTATAATCCGAACCCCCGAATTCATATAATTCATCAGGTAGTTTATCAATCACATAAAGAGGCCGCCCCCATGCATATGCCATATCAACCTCTCAATGAATTTCTATAGTTTGAGCATAATTTCTTGACTTATAAATTTTAAATTGCTCGAGTTGAGTTTTTTTTTTTTGAAATACTTATAATTTTTTATAAAATAGTATATTTTCTTACTTTCTCAAACGCTTTCCCACCCTTTTGTGTACTTTACAAATATAAATGTTATAAACATTACTACAGGTGAACATGTTGACTTGTCCAAAAAACTTCCCAATGCATAGGGCCTCAGCCCAAGCATCCACATAGCCCAAGATGCCAAAATCTAGGAAGTCCAGTCAATGCCGACAAATTATGCTGTGCATCCGTATGCACCATGCATAGTACATACGAATGCAAAAACGACGTTGTTTTATTAAAAACGCGCGTCTCTCCTTAAAAAAAATTCAGGTTCGATTCCCAGCAACAACATATGAATTAAAATTTCAGAATCGGTAAACTATAATTCCAGAATCGATGAACTATAATTCCAGAATCTATGAACTAAAATTTCAGAATCTAATCTACGAACTAAAAATTTCAGAATGAATGAACTAAAATTCCAGAATCTATGAACTAAAATTTTAGAATCGATGAACTACAATTCCAGAATCGATGAACTATAATTCCAGAATCAATGAACTAAAATTCCATAATCTATGAACTAAAATTCCATAATGAATGAACAACATAATGCTGTTGCTGTGAATCGAACCTGAATATTTTTTTTAAGAGAGACGCGCGTTTTTAATAAAACGACGTCGTTTTTGCATCCGTATGTACCATGCATGGTGCATACGGATGCACAGCATAACTATCCGTCAATGCCACTTGCTTAAGGCAAATTATATCATGGAAATTTATACATATTATAAAGTGAATCAATAATAAATGTTTATTTTTAATAAATTAAAAGTTTGTTTTTAATATAATGTAAGTTCAATTTAAATAATATATTAAAAATAAATTTGCAATACATTAAAAGTGAAATTTAAAAACTAAAATTGTAGCTCATACTCTTGCTTTAGCGGCCCTCACTCATACTAGCTCTATGTATTGGGACTCTGTCTCTCCTGACTCTATTCCTCATTTGCTTCAGTAATCTATGCATTCACTTTTGCTTTCAAAAAAAGAAGTATATTAAAATTGAACCTATATGTTAGTGGCTTTTTTTCTTTGCTTCTAGCCTCTTGGATGGGCAAGTATAAATAGAAGAGCAATTACAAGCCGTTTGATTGCAAAGAAAGAACTAGGGGGAAAGAAATTATAATTGTATGAAAATGAATAAGGTGTAAATGTTTTCAAAAAAACAAAAAAGAAAAAAAAGGTGTGAATAAAGTAGTGGTTTAATTATAATGTTTGGTATATATGGAAATTAAAAGGAAAGAAGTAATATAAAGACTTAAATATCCTTGTATAACAACAACAACAATAATAATAATAATAAGCAAAGCTACTTAATAATATTAATAATAATATGAAGCAAAGCAAAGCAAACACTGGTATTTGACAAACCATGTAAGGATAAATTTGTCTATTTATTATCATTTTTTTTCCATTCCGTATGAAATTGAAATTTCTCGGGGGAATGATGGCAATTAGAATTGCATGAAATGAAAAAATTGCAATTCCTCTAAGCAAACAACAAAATTTTAAGAGGTAGGGAGTTATATAGAAAAGAGATTGATATTTCCATATCAAACAGCCTATTATGTAACGACGCGTGCAAGGGGTTTTAGAGTAAGGGTGTAAACGAATAGAGCCGAGCTCGAGCTCGAGCTCGATAAATAATAGGTAGGCTCGAGCTTGAATACGAACTCTAAAATTGGAGCTCAAACTTGGCTCGATTCAAACACGAAGAGACGAAGAATTTCTGGGCTAAAAACCACTCTAATTGAGGACTAAATTGGGTATTAACTCTTTCTTTTTTTGGAATATCGACCCTAATACAGTGTAATATCTGTTCAATATACTTTCTCAATTTTCAAAAGTTGTATATTAGATTTGGACATTAGATATTCCCATACTATCCCTATAGTCTCCATTCTTGTAATAATACAATAGAGAAAGGCTCAACACCATATTTTGATTCAAATTTACTTTTTATTTTTGTCCATCCATTCCATATTTGGTTAGCATTAATTAAAACCATCAAGTTCTATTTAATGAATTTTTTTCAATACTTATTTCTCCATTCATTCTTCCAAAAGGTTGAACCCCAACCCTAAGGGCCCCCCACACTCTGACCCGACAGAGCATCTGGGAGGATGTAAATCATGGTAACTCAACTGAACATGAACCACAGAGGTTAGACCTTTGCTTACTGCGCACAAGGAACCCCCCTCACTTTGAGAGGTAGCTCCCACACTGTCACTGGTGAGACTCGATCACTGGTCATTAAAACTCGAGGTCGATCTTAATGAGAATGAAATCAGTGATAATATGATAGGAATGTATGTAAAAGTATTGTATTCAATCATGATGTCTGAGAGTACAGAGAGCGAATATTAGATACTAGATAGAGTCATAGTCTAACACGAATAATATAATCCTAGTCTAATACGAATAATATAGTCCTAGTCTAATATGAATAATATAGTCCTAATACCCCCCCTCAAGCACAAGGTTGGGTAGCCAAAACATTTAGCTTGTCACGGAGAGAATTAAAACGCAGAGACGAAAGAGACTTTGTAAAGATATCCGCTAGTTGATCTTTGGTTGAAATAAAGTGCACCTCTAACTCCTTTTTATCCACTTTATCTCGAACAAAATGATAGTCAATCTCATTGTACTTCATTCAGGCATGAAACACTGGATTGGCACATAAGTAAGTAGCTCCCAAATTATCACACTATAGTCGAGGAGGAGACGCGGGAGGGATGCCGATTTTGTGTAACAGGGAAACAAGCCATGTAACCTTTGCAGATACATAAGCTAGTCCCTTGTATTCTGCTTTAGTTGAGGAACGTGCCACAGTCCGTTGCTTCCGACAAACCCAAGATATAAGATTACTGCCCAAGAACACGGCAAAGCCACTAGTAGACTTGCGATCATTTAGATCGCCAGCCCAATCTAAGTCAGAATAGGTGTGAATATCCATAGATGTAGACCAGAAATACGCAGGCCAAGATTTAGGGTGCCCTTGACATACTGCATGACTCTTTTTAGAGAGGCCCAATCCGTAGTAGTGGGAGCATGCATGCGTTGACACAAGAGATTAACAGCATAAGATAAATCAGGACGAGTTACCGTAAGATACTGGAGAGCACCTGCAAGACTCCTGTACTGTGTAGGATCGGCAACTTCGTCAGTGATTTTTGCAGAAGAGACGGGCGTGACTACTGGCTTGCAGTCCACCATGCCAGCACGTTTGAGAATATCCTTCATGTACCGTTGTTGTGATAAAAGCATACCGCCAGATAACGGGACAATTTCAATACCCAAAGAGAAAGAAGGCACACCCATATCACGAACCTTAAACTCAAGGGCTAATTTATCAATAAGAGCAGTAACACGATCTGAGTCATAACCCATAATCAAAATGTCATCAACATACACCAAGAAATAAAGACGAATATTGTCAAGAGAATAGATAAAGAGAGACACATCCGTCTTTGAGGGCGAGAAGCCCACAGAGACAAGAAAATCATGTCTCCTTGTGAACCAAGCACGGGGAGCCTGTTTGAGCCCGTACAGAGATTTTTTAAGCAAACACACATGATCAGTTAATGACTTGTCCTCATAACCAGGTGGATGTCGCATGTAAATAGTCTCAGCTAGCTCGCCATTTAAAAAAGTACTGTGAATATCCAACTGGCGAATAGTCTACCCACGAGATACAGCTAAAGATAAGAGAAGGCGTACCGTAGTGGGCTTAACCATAGGACTAAAGGTCTCAAAAAAGTCATCTCTAGCAACCTGATTAAAACCCTTGGCCACCAACCTAGCTTTGTGACGTTCTATTGAACTATCGACCTTCCGTTTGGTTCTGAAAACCCACTTGCAACCAACAA